TTCCAATTAATTGCATCTTGTAGTCCCATCGTAGTGAGTGGCAGTACCTCATGGTCAGAGAAAATATACTTTGCCATCTCTTTGCATTTAGGGAGGGCCAATGGAAGTTATTGCTGTGGCTTTCACTAAAACTCTTTTTAAAGTGCTGTCTCATGTGTCAGGCACCATTTCTCCTTTCCCAGATTCCTGTTTAAAGGTGTACAGAATTTCCACAGCCATTTTGAAAGTGAGGATGACACTGAAAGTAGAAACTGTGAGAATCAAAGTAGGGATGCTAATGATGTTGATGACATTATGGTGTTGCCAACTCCAGCCCACTCCATCTGGTCTTCTTTTATGTGTAAGAACACTCTGATGTCTTCTTTGAGTCTTTGTGATTTTGTTTCTCTGTTACAGCAGCTGAGATAATCCCTTATTGATATTCATATATTTTCTACTCTGTCTTTGGCTACCTTATATTAAAAATTATTCTTGAAACTCACTTATTTTCTTCTCTGATTGACACAAATGAGGTAGAACAAGTTGTTGATCAGTGATGGTAGAATTTGATCAATCAGTACTATTTTATACCTTGTTTCTCTATTCAGCTAATGCCAGAATTGGCAAATTAGATTTAAAACAGCTGGGCTACTTAAAACCCTGTCAGAACTTAGTGATCCACACACTCCTGTGTATAGACTTCACCTAATTAAAAACACATTTTATAAACAGAAAATATTGGCAACTTTGAGTGAAGATATTTTATACATTTCTCTCTGATAAATCATCCTAGTAATATTTCACCAATTTGTGAACACCAGTCAATTTTTCATGCCATATAAATCATGGCCTCTATTGTGTTTTTATCTCACACTTAGTCTGAGGCCTATCACTGTTATCGGTCCCTTGTATACTTGTCTAACTTCCTGACTCCTGTTTCTCTCCCAATTACTCACCTAAAACACAAAAGCACTGGTTAAATCAATTTATTTTTGTTTTTCTCTGTCACTTCACAGTCAACCACAGCTGAAGAAAAACATACCAATATATTTTCATCAACATGATGTTGTATCAATTCAAGAATATTCCAAGCTCTCCCAAACATACCTACATATTACTTCTATCACCCACCCTGAATTGCAAGGCAATTATTTTACTTGTCTTCCTCACTTCAAACCATTAAAGCTCTTAGAAACATTTAACTTTGAACCACTGGTAAGATAGTTAAATAAGTAAATTTCATTAAAAAAAAAAAATCTAGCCGGGCTCAGTGGCTCAGCCTGTAATCCCGCGCTTTGGGAGGCTGAGGTGAGTGGACTGCCTGAGCCCGCGGGTTCAAGACCCGCCTGGGCATCTTGGCAAGACCTCATCTCTACAACAAATTAAAAAAATTAGCTGGGTGTAGTAGCATACGCCTGTAGTTCCAGTTGCTTGGAAGGCTGAGGCGGAACGATCGCCGGAGCCCAGCAGATCGAGGCTGCGGTGGCCGGGAGCAGCCACTGCACTCCAGTCTGGACGACAGAGTGAGACTCCAACTCAAAAAAAAAAAAAAAAAAAATCTAATCAGTGCAAAAAGGATTTCCTCTCACACCAAGAATCTTCTTCCGGCTTTTGTTTCTCCCTGTTTGAACAAATGAACTGTTGATCATCTTTCAAAGATCAATCCTCCCATCTGTGTATTAGATCACATCAGCTTCTAAATTTAACTAATTTATTACTATAAATATTATTTTTCTCTCATAACCTATTTCATTTCATCTTAACTGAATTATTCAGATTACCATAAAGATTATCATACCTGTAACTTTTATAAGATTGCTTTCCTTAAACGCACAGCACTTTCTGTCTACTGCAGTTATCTGTTTACTTTTAGCCAGTGTTCTCTTTGAAAGAGATAATGATACCATTTATTTTTCTACATTCCATTCTCTCTTTAACTGACTATAATCATAGTTTTTTCCCCAATATTTGACAAAAACTGGTCTTGTAAAGTTAATAATTACAACCAAGTACTCAAACCTAGTGTGAAAATTATACCCATTATCTCTTTTGCCCTTTCAGCAATGATAATATCATTGTTTTTCCTCTAAACTCCCATGCCTCCCTGAAAACCCTTACACCAAGAAATTCAGAGCAGTTTAAATGTCATAGAATATAAAAGAAAGAAACCGGTTTCACTCGCTGTGAGATATTGGCTCAGAGATCTTTGTTCCTAGGAAAAGGGAAAGCATTAGAGCACAGCACAAGCAATCACTGCTAATATTGAATTCCTCTTGATTAATTCATAATGCGAAGGATGATGGGGGGTGGCTCTGTGTCTGAGACCTCATTATTTCTTTATTTCTGTCTTCATCTTCAGAAAAACTGGAGATCAGAGAGTAAACAGTTTATTCACAGGAGGGGAGGAAACAGGGAAGCTGTTGCTCCCCAATGCTGCTCAGTTCACATCTTGTTACATGAAAGCCCACAGTTTGGCTCCAAGTCTCCTTCCTGGGCTTCCCAGGTGAAGCATGACAAATGAGTGATTTATGTAAGAAACCTATATCAGACATGAATGAGGAGGAATGACTCCTGAAGAGCAGTCATTTAGAACCATTGTCACACTTTACTATGCATCACAATTACCTGAGAAGCTTGGAAAAATGCAGATTTCAAATCAAACTTCCTAAGAGTGCTGATGGAGCCCAGAGTCCTACATTTGTGATTATTTATTTTATGCAATTCTGATGCAGGTGGAACACGAACAATGCACTGCTCTAAAAATTACAAAGCACTCTTGAATTGTTGCTACTTAGACTATAAGAAGTAAAAATTGGGAGTGGGGATAAGAGATAAAAGACAGCATTAACTGTTAGCCAAAAATCAAGTTGGAGAATCTCTCTTCCTAACTCAGAAAAAGGAAAAAACAAATGCAGGTCATGAATCTAATCAAATAGGCCACTATTCAGTAAGCATTCACCACAAGAGGGAGGTGAGAGCCAGGCACAGGACAACAATTTCCCAGTAGAGGAAGCATTTAGACAGAGAGCATCTCCAGCACAGACTTCTCCTATCTCCTTGAGATTGTATATCAGCAGATACAATTTCTGCATACAGGAAAGCCTAACTCCAAACATCTGAGGCTAATGGGAGCAGTATGAATCAACTTCACATCTTGCCTGTTTTTCTCACTGGTTTCATTGAAAATTGATTTCAAAGACTTGACTATGTCTTGCTGCCAGTTGGGTTTGCACCAGAAATCAAGGCTTGGATTTGCTTCTAATGAGTGTCAACAGTGGTCAAACTAGACTCTCAATATTTTCAAGATTTTTGTCACATTCTATTAATTGATTCCTGAACACATACTTCACATCACAGGGTATTCATTCTCACTCTTCTCCACTTGTCAACCTCAGATCCTAGGCACAGTCTTCTGGCTTCATATGCATTCCTAATGTGACCTAATTAAGCTGAGATTTCTGGCTTTAAATGCAATCTATACACATGGATATTATCTGAACATATGACTTTGGGCTGTCCCTCCCTTCAGTTGAATACTTGTCTTTTCTATCAATAATTATATTTAAGTTAGCATATTAAAAATTAATCTTATCCTATCTCCAAATATGCTCCTTCTTCTAAGCAGTCAATAGCACACCCACATAATTGCTTCTTTCAAATTTCTTAGGCTTAATTTTCAACTCTCTTTCTCTTACACTCACATGCTATTCTTCAGTGATACCGGCATAGCTACTTTCAAGATATATTCCAAATGCAACCACTTCTTATGATTCTATCATTGACTCAATATTTTAAGCCACCATTATCTTTTACCTCGACTCCTAAAATAGCTTTTTAAAATATTCATTTATTTTAAGACAAATCAGATAGTGCTACTCCATACAATAAACACTTTGATAGCTTTCCATTACACTTAGAATGAAAATTCACATATTTACATAGGTTCACAGGGCCTCCATGAGATCTACCCCCAGGCTACCTCTCCAAGCTCATTATCTGCCACTTTCCTCTTAATTCATGTCAATCACACTAGCCATCTTGCTTTACTACAGAAAGTTAAGTAAGTTTCTGTCTCCTTTTTTATAAATTATATAGTAGATTAATGTATAAAATATGATAAATTATGAAAGTAAAATATTACTAATGAATCATACATGCAGTTCTATATCAATTTAAGTAAAAAACAAAATTTAAATTAAATCATGAATAAAGCAAAGCTCTGATTTTTTTTTTTTTTTTAGAGTTGGAGTCTCACTCTGTCGCCCAGACTGGAGTGCAGTGGCACGCTCCCGGCCACCGCAGCCTCGACCTGCTAGGCTCCGGTGATCCTTCCGCCTCAGCCTTCCCAGTTGCTGGAACTACAGCGGCGCGCTACCACGCCCGGTTACTTTTTCGATTTATTGTAGAGATGAGGTCTCACCAACTTGCCCAGGCGGGTCTTGAACCCTCGGGCTCAAGCAATCCACTTACCTCAGCCTCCCAAAGCGCGGGATTACAGGCTGAGCCACCGAACCCAGCTCAAAGCTCTGATTGTAGGAATGATGCCAACCCACTGGGTCAGCATTTGTAGCATATAAATTAACCATTAAGAGTATAAAATTTGCACCACATAAATAATAATTTTCTCTAGAATAAATAGGATCAATTAAACAGACAACTTGATCAAAATGTCTAAATGACTAATGTTTTTAGTTTCTAAAATGTACATGATTGCCTAATTGTAAATTCTAAATTGAAAAAGTATTTTAAACTTCTTATATCTTAATTTTCCAATTAAAATGAGTAACTGTAATATTTTATAATAACATAGTACTAATTTATAGTATTTATTCACTTGGAAACTTTGTGTGTGGCTTTTTTTACACTGAAAAATCTTTTACATTAACAGTTAACTCCCCAAACTCAAAATATTAGAACCTTGTCAAAACTCAATAAATTGAAGTCTTTCCTTCCAAGTCAACTAATGTTCTTTGCATATTTAGTGAAGCAGAAAACAGTTTTAGCAACACCATACTTCTTACCATTTACTTGGAAGATGTGAGTCTGATAGACTTGTTCATAGCCATCTGCATAGCAGGTGTAATTGCCCATGTGAGTTGTGGTAACCTTAGTAATATACAAGGACCCATCGTCTCCAAAGTCCTGTTAAAAGAAAGTAAAATAAAATAGGACATTTGAATTAAAAATTAACTTTAATAATTTTACTTTTTATTTTCAGGTGCAAAGTAAATAGATCCACATATCTTTTTAAAATTATCAAAATAAACGTGTGTAGGGCTATAAACGTGGAGAACCTGTACTTGCCATTTTTTAATGATATGTTTTGTTTTAAACAGTATGATGTCACTCATAAAAATAGCATTTAAATATTTATTTGAAATATATGAGTTTAATGCATAAAGTAACTTAATTTTCACATATTTGTTTCTAATTTTGTTCATATTATTTAGGTGAATGCAACTATAACATCTTTTTTGTTTACTTTTAACTCAAACAAATACCTGTTAATTGCATTCTTCACATTTGCAATTATCCACTAATTTTTATATTATTTAATCATATATTTACCAAGAAAAATAATTATTTAAGCAGTGTGATCCCAGTGATAAAGTTTATGGCCATATTTATTTATTTATTTTTTAAGACCAGAAACAATCACTATATGTGAATAAAATCACCATGCCAATTTTAAACCAGTGGGGACAAATGTATAACCATTTTGGAAAAAGGAAGGAAAAAAATCTCTCCCTGTTTGCCAAAATCAAATTCAAGAAGCAACTCCAGAACAGTAGAATAAGGAAAAGAAAATCTTCTCTTCTATAAAGTCAATAAATACACTCACAAAATGGCCAAAATCAACATTATTAGAATTCTGGAATTAGGCAAAGGCTCACAACAATCTAGAGAATATTTATTCAGAAAAAGTACCAGAATCCCAATAAGAATAGCAAGATTAGTGGCATTTTAATTGATTTCCTCATCACCTATCCACAGTCACATGGTGGTCTTGAACCAGCCACATTGTTATTATGCCAGCTACAAAAATCTTATTCTAGCAGACACCAGAGTGGGAAGAACAGGTTTGGAACTACTCCAAGTACCATGCTTGGAGATTTGTCCCTAATGGATGTATCTGGCAGTTCCTTGAAAATTTACATTTTCACGACTTCTTATTTGAGCAAGACTTGTGTCTTAAGTGTTTATGTCAAAGACGAAAAGCTAGATAGATTCATTGAGGGTTGTCAAAAGACAAGAGTATTTTAAAATATGGCAGCATCTGTATCTCATCCACTTCTCAGCAGCAGAGAATAAGGACATGAGGGTGCTGATTTCCAACAGTCTTCTTAAGATGCAAGTGGCAAATTTTCAATATCTTGTATTATAAGTACTATTAAATATTTTTCACTATATTTACTCTTAGAATTTACCCTCTGATAATTGTTTATATGTTGTCTTTTCAAATGTTTAATTTCAGATTTAGTATTTTTCATGTTTATTCTCCAATATTTTATGTTGCTCATTTAAAAAATTTGTATGGGCTATTTATGAATATAGAATGAATATTTATTCATTTTCTAAAATTCAACTAATTGTGACAGTACGTTTTGGTCAGTAAACCTTTTTCTCTCACAACTGTGATTAAACACACACAGCACACAACTTTGTGTCTTTAAAATATGACAGTACTCAGTGAATTATCAGTATTCACATAATAGTGCCCCCAAATATTCCTTGTCTGTTTCTGACTTTACCTATATTTATGCCATGTGCATTTCCATTATATATAGCTTTTCTCAGGAGAGGTTTTTTTTCTGTTATAGGAAAAAAAAATTTAACTTCCTCCTAATTGCTACTCACTATAGGTTGACTGCAATCAATAAATTTATTATAAGACTATTGAACCTGGCATTAAAAATAATAAAAATATTCTGACAGAGGAAAAAAAAAGTTGGGCGGGAAAGAGGAGGGGAATTGGGGTGCGGGACAGGGAGTAGAGAGAAGAGAAGAGGAGAGAGGAGAAAAATAGAGAAGGAGAAGGGAGAGGAGGACAAGTAAGAAGAGGCAAGAGGAAGAGGAAGGTCCAGGGAAAGAGAAGGAAGGGAGGAAAGGAGAAACATAAACTGTATACTCTCGCCATCATACTGTTCAGCTAAACCCTCAACATCATATATATAAGATTAACATATCACATTCTACAAATCCCGGGGAAAATGTTCATGGTGTTACTCTTATGAACTTCATGAAAGAAAGCCTCACGACTTGAATAATATGGAGCTTGGAACCTCCAATAAGGTAGTAGCTGTGTGACACAATGCCATGATATAACTTCCTACCCCACCACAGGCTGCCATTAGAAACATGGTTTATAGTGAAAGAACACCATTAGAGGGCTGAAATGCCCAACAAAAAGACAATGCTATGCCTCAAGTGAGAATTACGCAGATAGTTGACACTTTGCAGAATACAATGGGGGAAAGAAAGTCAAGCTTTTACAGACATCGATTAAGAAATATAAGGGCTAAAAATATGTAAAGAAAGATTATGAGCAAAAAATAACTATTGATAACCCATATAATGGCAAGATATCCATTGTGCATAAGACAGACATGCACATGGGGCAGTGTACATTAGACTTCGTACAACCAGAAAAAATTAATAGAGACCAGATCAAAATAAAGATGAATCCTTCGTCTGACAAAAATAATGAAAAACAATAGTCCTGAATATCTTTGGTATTTATAATTATGTTTATCTGCAACTGATGTATAAGTCTTTTAAAGTATATTTTTGGGCCGGGCTCGGTGGCTTAGCCTGTAATCGCAGCACTTTGGGAGGCCGAAGTGAGTGAATTGCCAGATCCCACAGGTTCGAGACCCACCTGGGCAACTTGGCCAGACTTCATCTTTACAATAAGTCAAAAAACTTAACCAGGCGTGGTAGCGTGTGCCTGTAGTTCCGGCTACTTGGAAAGCTGAGACTGAAGGATCGCCAGAGCCCAGCAGGTCTAGTCTTCAGTGGCCGGGAGCAGCCACTGCACTACAGTCTGGGTGACAAAGTGAGACTCCAACTCAAAAATAAATAAATTAATTAAAGTATATTTTTTAATTTCCAAAATTTTTAAATTTCCAAAAACCTAAAATAAATAACTTTTGAAAATGTTTTATATAGCTATCTGGAGAGAATGGTCTTTCTTTCCACTATAATCAAGATTCCTTCACCCAATTATGTAAAAATAATCCAAGACTACAATTTGAAAAGGTTTATTTAAAGAGTCTTATTGCAATCTGTAGTATTCCATAATGCTGAGTCTCTTTTAGCGAGAATGTTTTCATTTCTAAATTGTATGTTTATTTATATTTCTTTCTCTTAAATGGAATCAAAATTTTTCAGTCTCAATTTTCTTCAACACACTATTTTATAAATACCTCTTCAGGCAGTTTTTATGAATAAGTAAGACTTTAGCTAAAATTCCCTCTTCACTTTGAATAAAACACAGAACTTTTCGATATATTTAAAATAAAACCCAATAAATATTAATTGAGCTCTTAAATATATCAAGAGCTGTGTTAAATAATGTAAATTAAATCTCATATTTTATCCTTTAAACAATTTTTTTCTTAAAAAACAACATAATTCACCCCATTTTTCAGATATGGACACTAAAATAGGCTGATGTTTAGTAATTTGGCTAAGGTCACTAACAAAGTGAGGGAGCTCAGATTAGCATCCAAGCAGAAATGAGCGGTTCCTCAGAATTTTTTTTTTCATTGATTTTTGTTTTTCAGGCAAATTCTCATTCTATCACCTATTCTATGCAGTGGTGCAATTCTGGTTCACTGCAACCTCGACCTCCTGGCTTCAAATGTTCCTCCTGTCACAGCCTCCCAAGTAGTTGGGATCACAGGCATGCATCCCCACGCCCAACTTTTGTTTGTTTGTTTGTTTGTTTTTTGTAGAGACAGAGTTTTACTATGTTACCCAGGCTGGTCCTGAGCTCCTGGACTCAAGTGGTCCTCCTCTCTTAGTCTCTCAATGTGCTGGGATTATAGCAGTGAATCACCATGACTGCAAAAACACCATTTTTACAATTTTCCACTAACTTTAGCCAAGCTTCAAAATTACCTTTTGAGTGTTTTGTAGAGATACATCAATCCTACTCTTTACTTTCATCCTGGTTCAGTGTTTCTAATCTTTTAAACTTTTATTTTCTCACCATTTTGCTAATCTTAGATCAAATCAAAATTGCAATTTTGGTGCTCTGTCATGGTTGAGAGTTGTAGCCTTATAACAGATACTTGTTGAATTAAGAGACAAAATCTTGCCATTATTTGGAACCTCTGTTATACCTTTATAATCTTTCTGTTAATAGACACTGCATAAATATTTCCTCAGTGATTAAATCTTTATGAGCCTCTATACCATTACAGAGTTGCCTCAAGGCACTGATGTCCAGAGTTGACATAAAAAATACACAAATTCATATATTTTGTTGAGTTGATTGCTTATATTCTTTTCAAGGTAGTGAAAAATGGGAACATTGGCAAAATGGGAACTTTGGAAAAAAGAATGTCTGTCGTACATTTCTAAAATTTTAAAAATTCTTATGGCAACTACCAATTGATTATAATCAGTTGTGCAAAAGTAGTGACCTGTAGCTAGGCAATTTATAAACCCAATCCTGACTTATACTCCACATCTTACAAAAAAAAAATATTAACCTATAGATGATGAGAACTAACCAATCAGAATGTATAAGAAAGTAAAGACTAAGTATTGATTATACCAGACTGTAACAGCTGAATTTCAGACCTGTACTTAACCACAAGCATTTTTTAGACTGTTTCTCTGTAAAAGATAATCTCACCTATTATAAAATCGAAAAATTTAAATTTAAGTTCATTTTCTTTTTCATATTATGTTCTTCCTCATAGTTTTAAAATGTATGGTACCCAGGGAAGAGAAGGAAAGAGAAAATAGATCCCATTTATAATGTGTGAAAGATCATGCATGGCAAATTTGTGAAGACTGGTCTATTAAGTACACAGGGCTGAAGTAGCTGTTCAGTTTCACCATATAGAAAATCTTAAACTACATTTCTACCTAACAGCATACAAAAAAAATTTCAAGGCCAGAGGGTACTG